TGTGGAAGGAAAGCACCACAAAAACACATACACATACAGATACATACACACTTATTCTTATAGGCATTTTTCTATAAACCACATTTTCCTTTCTCACGATGCGTTGTAGTTTTAAAAAGCCACTAACTAAAGCCAAATAAACAGGCACAGTAACTGTGATAGAACAGACCTTGTGTTTCAGACTGACAAAAAGAAAGCAAGACAAAAACTGAACAAATGAAACTAACAACAAAAAGATGTTTGTTGCCTTTATGTACACACCATAACTCAAGAGGACACAGTAATACAGAACCCAAATAAACACTATTTGCTATTTTAAGTCCTCTGGAGAAATTACATCATCCATACTCAATGATTACCATCGTCTCCACACCTTCAACATAAGCTAGAAATCTGCATCGTCTCATTTAAATTCCATAAATTACTGCTAGAGGAGTTAGAGAATATGAAATCCAAACACTCCAAAAGCTAGTATCTGAAAGAAGGAAAAGCCCTGTATACTGCTTCAGCTAGCACAGCGGTTCTCAACCTGTGGGTCGCAACCCCTTTGGCGGTCGAACGACCCTTTCACAGGGGTCGCCTAAGACCATCCTGCATATCAGATATTTACATTACGATTCATAACAGTAGCAACATTACAGTTATGAAGTAGCAACAAAAATAATTTCATGGTTGGGTCACAACATGAGGAACTGTATTTAAAGGGCCAGAAGGTTGAGAACCACTGATAGCAGAATGTGGTTCTAATATTAAAGAGAATACGTTATAAGAACATGACATTCACTTTCAAACACAAACTCAAAAAGCAATACGGTGCTTTTAAAGTCTCTGCTGTTAATCGCCTAACTCCACATCCCCATTTTTTCTTCAGACTAATCTCACTCAAACTTCCCCTACTTCAACCTCCTTGTTGGAAAGGAGATTTCTTTAAGTTGAAATAATACATTGTAACATGTTAAAACCTGAGACCAATTGTGTGAAAGAACAGAATCTACATAAAGTGATGTGAAAACTTCAATCCAGATGAAAAGAAACATCATTTTACTGTTGTTATCGTGACTTTATCTGTATCTATTTTTTGAAATCCAGTATCAAGAGGGTCATCATTCCCTCTGTTCTGAGTGCAACTGCCCTGCGCCTGTAATTTCACCTCCCGCTCAGGTTCTCACAGCTCCAGGCTAAATGTGGAGCATGGCTCTGAAGCATCAGCTTTACTCAAAGGTTCTTTTGAGGAGGAATTATTTTTATATAAAAAGCAACTTAGAGATTTTGAACTAGAATGTGAAAGGTGTATTTTTTCAAACAGCATGAATGGATGCTATGCTTGAGGCGGGCTATTTGGGGCACTGCCCCCAAAACTCCCAAGGGGATGCTTGCTTTCTCTCCTCTGCTACTTGGGGTTACTTTAGTGGAAATTGTGGGAAAACAGTGCTAAAACATCACTCAACTAGGACTAGTGGTGGTGCCTTGGATATGCTATCAAGTAACAGGAATACTACTTAACAAACTTTACTGAGTGCCTCCTAAGTGCTGAGCAATGCGCTAAGATTGTGGAGATGCATTATAAATATGGGAGAGGCAGGGTTCCTGCCCCATTGTGATGTTCTAGCTCGAAATTGTGGGTTTACTTCATTGTCATTATTAAAATACTCTTTACTCTAAAAGCTAAATGCAATACATTGAACAATATTACTCATAACTAGTTTGAAAAGATGACACCTTAGCAAGAGTGAGGGTGTAATAAGTTAGAGCAGTGGTTCTCAACCTTGGCTGTACATTAGAATCACCTGGGAATCTTTTTAAAATCCTGATTTCTGGGCCCCACCCTCCGGAAATTCTGTTTCTTTGTTATGGGGTGGAGCCACAACATTAGTAACAAAGAAACAGAATTTCCGGAGGATGAGGCTCAGAAATCAGGATTTTAAAAAGATTCCCACGTGATTCTGATGTGCAGCCAAGGTTGAGAACCACTGAGTTAGAGCCTCTCTAATTCACACTTGCTTTATCCTGAGGCGCTTTCTAATTCCATCTTGCACAGCTAGCAGCTATTGGTTCCCTAGGCTCTTGTGGCTGGGCTTTCTACTCAGCCAACAGAGAATACTGAACATTCTCTAACTTCTGAGGCCCATGGCCTGAAGCACAGGGAGGGAAGGGACAAAGAGACATACACAATAAGTCAAGAAAGGAATTTTAGGTATAATCCCTGACTATTCTAGTTCAAACTTATTTTACAGACGGCTATCACTGTTAAAAGACAAGCATCTCCTCTCCAGTGGCTATTATTTTAACTGCCCCAGCTGCAGAGACCATAAAGAAATAACTACTTGCCCTAGCTGGTTTGGCTCAATTGATAGAGCACTGGCCTGTGGACCGAAGGGTATGGGGTTCGATTCTGGTCTAGGGCATGTACCTCGGCTGCAGGCTCCTCCCCCAGCCCGGGCCCTGGTCGGGACACGTGCAGGAGGCAACCAATTAATGTGTTTCTCTCACATTGATATTTCTGTCTTTCCCTCTCTTCCACTCTCTAAAAATCAATGGAAAAATATCCTCAGGTGAGGATTAAAAAAAAAAAAAACTACAGGCCACAAAAGCCATTATCTCCACAATGCAAAGAAATTACTCAACAGTTCTCTAAAGGAGAATATTTATCTTGACTTCCTTTCCTGTTTTTCCCAGATTTTGTGCCTTACAATACTTGCCCTAGGCATTCCTCTAAATGAAAAGCAGGTATCTAGCTAGGCTCTCTTGAATAGGAACTATGATCTAATAGTTCCTCTTTAATGAAGACTTGCAATTAGTTCCATTCTTACTAGAGAGGTGAGAGTGAGAAGGGGATGCAGAAAAGGAGAAGGATCAACTAGAGCTACTGCAGGCACAGTCTCACCCCCGTCCAGAGTAAACTGTGAGTACCAAAAGCATTCCCTACTTATTCCTGCTCACTGTTCCTTCACCATGTTGTAAACTCCCTAAGGTCAGGAACACCTTAACTTGATGAGCATGCACATTTCCACTTCAGTCCCTTCTCCCTTAAAGTTTTCTTTAAATACTTTCTGACTAAAAGTAGGAAACAATTAAGATTGTTCTGCTTATGTTTTATATTTGACATCAAAATTACCTGCCTAGCCCCACCAGTGTGGCTCAGTGGTTGAGTGTTGACCTATGAACCAGGTCACAGTTCCATTCCTGGTCAGGGCACATGCCCAGGTTGCAGGCTTGATCCCCAGTAGGGGGCATGCAGGAGGAAGCCAATCAATGATTCTCTCTCATAATTGATGTTTCTGTCTCTCTCCTCCTCCCTTCCCCTCTCTGAAAGCAATAAAAACAGTAAGTTTTTTTAAACTTATCTAATTTATTTATAAAATTATTTTTAAGATTTAGTCCAAATATTCTATGTGGGGAAAATGCCATTCTACTTTCTAGATATTGTATAGCAAGCATGTCAAACTCAAAGGCTAACACAGGCCAAATAAACAAGGCATGTGGCCACGGGCCGCAAGTTTGACATGCTTATTGTATAGTATTTGAAAAGACTATACTACCATAATTTTTAGCTTTAATTCTCTTATATTAAACTGTATAAACTTCTCTTATATTAAACTGTATAAACTTCTAGTCCATATTAAATTACTAGTGGCCCGGTGCATGAAATTTGTGTACGGGCGGGGGGGGGGCGGTGTTCCTCAACCTGGCCCGCAGGCCCTCCTAACTGCTCTCCCCTGCCGGCCTGATCACCCCTAACCACCTCCGCCTCGGCCCCCACTACCATGGCTTTTTCCAGAGGTCTCCCGGTCTAATTAGCGTATTACCCTTTAATTAGTATAGATTAACAAAAATGAACACATTTGAAGGAAACAAAATTATATAATAAACTATAACATAGTTAATGAAATAATGCTAAACAACTATATATATATATATATCTTCTTTATAGAAGACATGCATTTGTTCATACTTTCATAATGAAATATACTTATGAAATATACGTTACAGGTAAAGTAAAAGTATAATTAACAGAAAAGATAAACCCACTACATGTGTGCCCCTTGTGCAGCCTGGAAACTACTCTGGGTGCCCTCTCTCTATCATGAATGGCTTCTTACATAGATTTATCCTGACACTAGTTCTGACTCTACTAAAGGCCCAGGATTCAAATGATTACTGAATAGCAGACAACCTTTCATCAGGAAGCCACTCAGAAGATATTTAACATTTAAGGTTTCAAGCAGCTAAAGAAGCACTGTGAAACTAATTAAATCAATTTAGCATGTATTCTCTGCCTTTATCAAAACTAAGTGATTATCTTCCATTTTATAAATAAGGGAGCAAGTATGCATGGTAATCCTTGCCAATATTTTTTTTCAATCTCCAAAAACCAATCTCTGAAAGAATGAAAGAACTATATACTGCTTCATTTAGTAGAATATGGTTCTAATATTAAAGAGAATATTAAGACACATTATTTATTTATAGTGTACACTGTGTTCTGAAAACACAGAGTGTTTTGGGGTATATACAATATTAAGCTGATCAGTAAAATAGTGGCGTACCTAAGTGACAGGTTATATTATTTATTTAAAGCATATATATCTTTAGTTTTTTTTTTGTGTGTGGTTTTTTTGTTTTTGTTTTTCAGAAAGGAAGGGAGAGGGAGAGAGAGAGAGAGAGAGAGAGAGAGAGAGAGAGAGAGAGAGAGAGATACATGATGAGAGAGAAACATTGATCAGCTGCCTCCTGCACGCTCCCTGAGGATCGAACCCAAAACCCGGGCATGTGCCTTTGACTGGAATTGAACCTGGGACCCTTCAGCCCACAGGCCAATGCTCTATCCACGAGCCAAACCAGCTAGGGCCAGGTTATATTATTTTCTCAGGAACTGGAGTTTTGGATTTTTTGGCAGTAAGAATAAGTGTTAAACTTTTTATTAAAGTGTCTATATTTAAAGAATCCATGTTTTACTCTTATACTTTACTCAATTTTGGAACAATCTACAATTTTTTATCTTTTTGAAAAAGACCTGTAAAATCAAAGATGGTCTCCTCTGAAGATTATAAAAATATTCTAGATTACACAAATAAAGAAATCAGTAAAAATTCATATGTTTAAACTATAAATCCAAAAATTCACCTTTATCATCAAATATTGGCAAACTATATATAATATACAAACTAGGATTGAGATACTCATAGCTACCTACCATACGTCTTGAGGAAGATTTAAAGTTATGCTGCCTTTGATTTCATCCTGAAAGCACATATATCCTAAGGTAGCTAATGTTACATACAAGGTTGTAACAATTAGCATGCCAATGTTCAATGCTTGGGGGAAGCGTTTTGATTCTCTCATTTGATTTTCAAGTGGAAGGACCTAAGAAGAGAGTGCAAATAATACAAATCATTTAAAGCCATCTCGTTTCTTGTCATATGTATACAAATTAATCTTTCTGAAAATCTTTTTCCTTTAAAACACTTATAAATGTTGAAGTATTTTATCACTAAGATTTTAAAACTCTTTAAAAAAATTAAAATCAGTTCTTAGTGGACAAACCTGTTTGTTTAAAAAATAATAATTTCAACACTTTATCTTAACATTTTACACAACCAAAGTACATTTGTTAACAATTAAGAACCAGCACTGGTGCATTTCACTAGATTCTCCACATGTCCTTTTCCTGGTCCAGGGTCCATCCCGCCAAGGACACCCCACTGCATTTTGTCACCAAGTCTCCTTGGTCTCCTTGGGTCTGTGAGAATTCCTCAGTCTTTCCTTATTCTTCATTATCTTGATAGTTCTGAGAAGTATCAGCTAGGTATTTAGTATGATGTCCCTCTATTTAGGTCTGATGTTTGACTAGACTGGGATTTTAGTTTTAGAAAAGGTTACCATAGGGGTGAAGTGCCCTTCTCATCACACTTGTAATCAACATGAGTTATCACGGTGAAGTTAATTTTGATCACTTGGTTAAGGCAGTGCTGGCCAGGTTTCTCTGCTTGTAAAGGTCTTTTCTTCCCCACTCATCCTACTCTGTTCCTTGGAAGCAAGTCACTCAAGGCAGCCAGGCCACACTCCAGGGACTAGGGGGGGGGATTAAGCTACACCTCCTGCAGAGGGAGCAGTTACATAAATTATTTGGAAATCCCCCTTATTTGATTAAATTATGTAATTATTTAATTTACAATAGTATGGATTCATGTATTTATTTATACTTTGAGTATGAATACAAAACACTGTTATTTATTTTGTTACTTATATTGTTCCAGCTTTGGTCATTGTAAATTCTATCAGGTTGGTTTCTGTGTCCTGTTGACCTGCCTCCATTCGTTTGTTTATTTTTGAGCACTTCCATACTTCCTGGCACTACAAGATGCTCCAGACTCATCTTGAATTTCCTTGCTTCAACCCCAGAATCAGCTATTTCTCCACGGAACTTTGGTTCTTTTGTTGAGAATGGTATCTAGAAATGAGGATCTGGGTGCTCGGTGTGCTTATTGCTACTGAGGTATCACTGCTTATGGGCCTCTCAGCAGACAGTGCTAGAACACATATGTAGAGCAACCCATGTGTACACATGTCTATAATTGCTTCTATATTTTTCCATCTGTATCTACTGTCTGTTAATTTAGTGAGATGAATAAGTAATTTTTATTATGTAAAAAAGTAAAAGAAAAAAGGCTAATTAAAATGTTAAGTTTTTAGGCAAATCTTCAGAGACTCTGGCCATATGATTTGACCATACTGTAAAGACACTAAGTAACAATAATAGTAATTATTTACTGAGAGCTTACAGTGTACCACACATTTTTCTAAAGGCTTTGCATGTAGCATCTCACATTATCCTCACAATAACTCTGTGCAATAATAACTCTAATATTCCATTTTTCAGATCCATATGGAAATATTAACTGGTTAACAGAAGAGAGGACAGGGAACAACTTGTGTGCTCTCCACATAATTCAGGCCTGAAATAGGGGCTACCATCAAGAATAGTGCCCGTGAAGCTAGAAAAGGGGGAGGGGAGGAATTAGCATTTAGGAAGCCTCCCTCTGTGTCAAGTCTCACTGAATAGATTTGGGGAAACATGGAAGTAGAATCAACATGCCTTAATTACTGACTGGAATGAGGAAACCAGTAACAGAGTGAAAAGAATTATTCCAATGTTTCAAGCTTCAGCTATTGAAAGTAAAATGAGAGAAATAGGGAAGTGAAAAAGTAAAGCTTAAGAAAGTATGTGTCAAAATCCAGAGTTGTTGAATTTGAGATGTCAGAAAAAAAACAAAAAACACTTAACTGTAAATATCCAACAGTTAACAAAAGCTTAGTAGGTAAAGACAGACATGAAAATCTAAATGAGACTGCCTGTAACGGTGGTAAGTGGAGCTGCAAATACTTGTGAGAATTCTCTATAGGAGAATTCAGAAAGCAGAAACCCAAGTGAAATGGTGTAAAGTTGTCTTTTACATCTATTTTGTCTGTGGTTCATATTAACAGGTGTTTGTAAGTAGTTTTGCTCCCATAAGAAACCATCAGACTACGAAATATGAAACATAAGCTATGGAGTAGAGAGCAATACTCTATTTTCCACAAATCTATCCATTCCAGGCTTTTAAAAAACTGGAAGAATCTTGAAAGGAAATATTTAAGGTCTTGAAATCCTCAGGATGCCCGTATCTCTTGGAATTACCCTCATAATGACATTATTTTTCAAAACAAACAAAATATGCACAAATCTATGCATATTAGATTTGACTAATTTGACTCTTCTTATGAAAGAGTAACACAATAACAATTTCAATTCACTTCTAGTCATCTAGTCTATACAATATGATGTTTGGGATTTGAATATAATCCAGGCTTGGTAAAGGAAATGGAATATAGATAAAACAAAATTGGCCATGAGTTAATGGTTTTTTAAACTAGGTTACGCTTACATAAAAATTCATCATACTATTCTAAATTTTGTATATGTTTGAAATATTCCATAATAAAATTTTAAAAATCATCTAATATAATGTCCTCATGTTATAGATTAAAAAGAGAATTAGAGTTTAAGTGATATGTCTAAGAAATACAAATCATATTCTAGAAATAGAAATATTAAAAACATACATTTTAAATGCAGCTAGACCTCATAAATCTTTGAGTTGATTTAATATTGTAAAAAATAAAGACTGAATTCTTACCACTCCTATGCCTTCAAAAGCAAATACAGCAGTCCCAAAAAAAAGTGGGTATTTTTTCCAACCAGCCACTATTGGAAGGTTGTGGGGATCTGGCATATTCTGGAGAAAGAAAGAAAAAAATAAGGCACGTTACATCTGTACTTACTTTAAAGAATTTTAAATGAAAGAGCAAAATCACACACTTGCCAGTTTTACAGCAGCAAGAACAGGGTGTGGCAAAAGTAGGTTTACAGTTTGAGTACCCAAAACAGATATTATTATTGTATTATTATTTAATTACTGTGTTATTTCCATATGAACAAATGTAAACCTACTTTTGCCCAACCCCATATACATTAGAAAACTGAATAATTCTTCCAATAAGCACTTGAAGCATCCTCTGTTAAATGTAGCCAAGCTGTTAGGATTCCACTGCCAAAGCAGTTGTTTTCCTCATGCCCACACATTCCATCTGAGCTAAATGCTCCTTATTACCTGTTTCCATCTGCAAATCCCAGGCTGTTCACACTGGGTATGGATCCTACCACAACAGGAAACATATAAGCATACTCAGGGACTGAGAGCCATTTAATCAGTTATCAACTACTATGGATGGTCAACAAAATTCCTTCTCTATTTTCATGGCTCAGTCTCTAAGACACCTGGCCCCAGACTCTTTCTACCTCATCATGCTGTGCTGCTCCCTAGCCCAGGTCCCCCGTTTTCAGTGTGTTAGTCTCTGACCTGACAGCTGACATGAAGCTTATTACTTGTGCATATACCTTGACTCGGGCTGCAATTACCTGGTCCTGACTCATAGCCTTGTTCCGACTCTCACTATCTGAAAACTTACAAACTGCACATCTTGTTCAAGATCTCTGGCTCCACAAATGGCCACTTCTTCCAGCAACCCCAAGTCTCCTAGTCCCTACTCTCCTAGTCCCAACCGTGTTCTCTGCCTTATCCAATTGCAGGGAGTTCAA